TAGCACAACTCAATGTTACAATCTCTCACCACCCAACTATACTATGTATGCAAATACTATAAGCTCAATGTGGGTGTGTGTAACAATGAGTAAAATAAAATCTAACTCAATTAACAAACTAGCAATAATAAGAATATGAAAATCAATAATGAAATTGCTAGAGAAAAGAGTTAGAAAACTTCTCTAAGAACACAAGAAGAGGATGAAGGGGATTGAGAATGAATCCCTCAATCTGCAGTGAAAACTTCCTCCTTTGTAAACAGAAACCCAAACTCAAAACAAACAGTAAAAACCTTAAACCCTTGCTTAAACTTTTCTTTTCTTTTAAAACATTTCTTGGTTAGCTTGAGAGTTGAAGACAATGGGGTATTTATACCCTCTCACAACTCAGCCAAGAAACCAGAGCAAAAGACAAAATAGCCCCAAGACAACGGTCAAAAAACTACCCGTTGGAAGCAGAAAAAAATCACTCGTCGGTCGACCGGAAAATTCGTCGGTCGACCGAAATTTTCATCGGTCGACCGGACCGGTCGACCGACAGCTTTCTGTCGGCCAGGAAACTTTTGACCTCAGGTTCGGTCGACCGGGACGGTCGACCGAAATCTGATACATGAAAATCTGTATAGCTGATTTTAAAATGCTGTTTAAAAATATCAAATAAATTCCAAAAAATGTAAAACTTTGGGGAATGATTGTAGACATGATAATACACATGCTACAAAAACTGGTTTTCTAAAAAGACTTCCCAAATGAGAAATATCATCTTTTTGCAAAATAGTCCAAAACATGAAAACCTGAAAATTGATATTTTGATATTTTGACTTAAACAACATTTTGAAACCTTATGAAATGATTGTATAGACTTGATAAAAGATATAACATGTTGTTATGAAGTCTATAATCTAGAAATACAATATTTTCATAAATTTGCATATTCTATGCAATATATTCAAAACACTAAATATGATTTCATTAAATATAAGCTTGTTAAAGGTGAAATCATATATAGGCATATAAACATGAAACAAAATAGTATTTTCCAATTCTATTCATTTGTTTCATAGTAAAACTTGAAAACTATCAAACCAAAACATATATGTATATATATAACTATATATATACAAAAACCAAAACGTGTATGTGTGTATATGATTGAGCTTAAAGTACTAACACACATAATATAAACCCTAAACTAAATTACCCAAGCAATCTTGATCTTCAACGAAGCTCTATCTTGGTAATCTTGCGGATGAAGCTTGAACTTGGATCTTGAACTTTGAATAGCAAGGCTTCATCGACATTCCGCCAACCTCCTTTGGATATGATCGTTGAAGCGCAATCCATCCATCCTCCAACAACGTTGTTTGTCTACAAGACATAGGAATGCACAAACACTAGACAAACAACATTAGTAATAAATTGTTTGTTAAACATCATCAAAACAAGAAGGCCAACAAATAACTTCTCCCACTGTGGTTGCCATCTTCTGTAGGGTCAAAAAATTAAACTTTGATTGATTTCTTATTTTAAGAAATGAGTTCGATCACTTGGTATGAATCCCTTATAATCACTCACTCTCGATTATAGAGGAAGAGAAGATTAATTTGACTTCTCTTTTGTTTAAAAGTGGGTTCTTGGTGGCGGAAGGATGCTTCTCTCGATGCTCAAGCCGAGATTGCTTCCTGTTAATGATCAGAACATGATCACAAAAGCTTATGATAGTGGCTTAAATCATGAGGATGCAGACACTGATTTCTCTTCACACGATAGCCAAAAATCCTCCAAAAGGTCCAGAAGTCCCTTCTTTATAGCTGCTTACGGCTATTTATAGAATTTCAGCACGTAACCGATATGATAAAATTATGGGTAGAGGGCGTAACTACCTCCTGCAATTCAGCCCATGTTGGTTAATGGGGTGTAACGTGATCATGAACTTTAACCCACGTGGCTGACTAGGTCTTTGGAGGCATTATTGTTGGATCTCCCGCGGACGATGAGTCTCGCTACATGATAATGTTCATCAGATCAGACGAGCCTCAATACGTAGCGAGGTTCGTCTGGAAAGGTAGGCTTTGCAATATAGCGAGCTTCTTCTGATGAACTTTGTCTTCACTGACTTCGTCTGATGAGCTTCGTCTTCATTGACGTGCTTCAAATCTTGTTTCCAATGAAAAGCTTTGTTGTTTAAGACGAGGTTCGCCATTGTAATGAACCTCATCATGTTTGAGTGAGCGTTGACACTCTTTTATCTCTTAGCATTTTTAGTGCCTACAAGGCTAAATGATTAGCTGATGATAATGATCTATCAAGCTTAATGAGAGTGGAGGAGAGATAGGTTTTTTGACTAGCCTCTGAATCTCCTTCCCTTTCATGTTGATCATGCCTATTTATAGTCTTAGGACCATTATAGAGTGAGTTAATGAGCTTTAACTGCTTTTATAATGAGGGAGTTAGTTGTCATTAACTCTCCTTAAATGGATGAGTTAGTGGTCAATAACTCTCTTTAAATGGGTGAGTTATTAGTCATTAACCCTCCTTAAATGTAGCCTCTGAAAATGACGACAGGCGAGGTTCATCAATAATGGCAACGACGAACTTCATCTTCAATGATGAATTTCATTTCTGGTGAACTTCGTCTTCGATGACGAACTTCGTTTCTGGGTGAACTTCACCTTCAATGATGAACTTCGTCTTCAATGACGAACTTCGTTTCTGGCGAACTTCATCTTTAATGACGAGCTTCGTTTCTGGTGAACTTCGTCTTCAATGATGAACTTCGTTTCTGGGTGAACTTCATCTTCAATGACGAACTTTGTTTCTGACAAACTTCATCTTCAATGACGAACTTCGTTTCTAACAAACTTTGTCTTTAATAACGTCCATCATCATGATGGATTTCGTTGGCTGAGATGAGGTTCATCATCATGACGAGCCTCGTCATGCTTGTAGCGAGGTTCAACCTTGCTTTATTCCTTAGCATTTTTAGTACCTACACATGTGTTGGTAGACGAGTGGAGGAGAGGTCATCTTGGTATTTAATATGAAGTGATCGGGGGCATGGCGGTGCCGAGTGGCCCGATGCATCATGAAGACTATCGGGACTAGAGGTATGATGGTGTCTGCAACGCATTAAATGTGACGCCGACGTGCTGTCAGTGGGAGAAGCTCGAGGTTAAAGTTGTTCTTTAGCATGGCCGAGAAGTAACGCCTTTCGAGTCGACCTCGCGAGACGTCGAATAACTGGTCGAGTGGGTTCGTAATGAGTCATCTTCGACAAGAGGACTGACAAGTATTGCCATTTGAGTCGATCTAAGGAGATGTCAACTCGATGGATCAGCTACGTTGAGATTCTTGGTTACCCTGATCGTCAATTTGTTTTGAGCGGTGCATGTAAGAGGACACTTGTCGGTTGTTGGCAAAGGGCCATACTTTGGGGACTGAGAACACCATAACACATTCGTTTGTGATATTTCTGTGACTTATGTGATTAGTGGTACGTTAACAGCCAATATGGTAAACTTGATATGCAACTAACGAACTTAACAGCCGGGCTTTAGCATTAATAGACGATGGTAATACTTAACATTAGGATGCACCGCCTAAACCTAACAACTTCTAATAAACTTAGCAACCACACTTTAATCTTAACAGGCAATGGTTAAACTTAACAAGTTTCTTATATACTAAGCATTCAAGATTTAACATTAACATGTAAAATATAAACTTAACAAGTGTCTGATAAACTTACAAGCCAAATTCTAACAACCTACTAAAAATTAAAATATCATGTGACTAACTAAAAATTAAGTGTCAGACAATTTGTTAATTCTTATCTATGCGTAGATTATGGAATTTTTTTTCCTAATGATGATCAACTTTGCTGAATCATTTATCATCCTGATGATGATCAACTTTATTGAATTATTTATCATATGCAGTGATGCAAGAAATTTCACTACATTACACTTTTGAAAATACATTGAATACTCCCAAAACACACAAAAGCCTCCTCCATCATCCCCACATCCTCTCAATCTCACGCAATACCAACATCCAACACTATTACACCCCTATACTAAACCACATACATCATTGCCATCAACCATCAAAATTAAGATCCAAAAATTTGAGAACATTCACAGATCTACATCGCTGACATGATGAACATACCAATAAAGAGTTGAAGAATGTCACTAAAAAAGGTTGTTGGTTGCACAAAATTTGCTCCAGCTATAGAGCTCCAATTAGAATATCCACCGTTCATATTAAAGAACAATCAGTGAGGAAATTTTAATAAAAATTTCAGCACAAACGGAAAAGAAATGACCACCAGATTAAGCACTTGATCAAAATTGGACAGACTCAAAAAAGCTAAAATTTCACTTCTCTCTTAGTTGAAAATTTCTCCTAAAATTCTAGATCTGAGATGGCGAAGGCGAGGTCACCGCAGGGGGAAGGGAGATTGATGAAGAGCTTTGTTGGAATATTGGAGTAGGAGAAGCATGTGGAGGTGGAGATGAAGCTATGACGATTACAATCACAAAGGGTTCCTCAATTTCTGAAGTGGCGACCATTAAGATTTTTAGCCGATGGTAGAGAGAGAGAGAGAGAGATGTTCTGATGGGTGAAATAGGTAGGGGTATTTTAGGATTTTAAGAAAATATAATAAATATTATGCATACTGCTACGTTGGAAGGGCCGAAATACATTGCATTTGTATTTTCAAAGCTTTTACAGAAGGGAAATAATATAAAGGGCTGAGTCATTTGGGCTTTTAACATATAGGGCTAGGCATAAATTTTCCAAAAATATAATCTCCATTTTTTTTTTCGTCTTCAAGATTTGCACGCCAAAACTCCACAAGAAGTAGACTATACACCCAACTCAATTACCGAAGGCCCACTCAGGTCCCACTCAACAGAAATATTCCCTCTCACCCCTCCTTTATCGTAATCGTAACCAACGAAAAAGGAAATAAAATCACGATAGAAAATTATCAGAAGCTGCCATCGCCAAAAATGCTCTTGTTACTCTCACTCTACTCCACTCGCCGTCAATCCCCATCACGAACCAATCAACACCAAAACCAAGCAATGCTCTCCTACACATTCACCCTTATCAACCCCCTCCCTGAGTTCCGCTCACCTCCCTTAATCTCACCGCAATGGCCTCCCTCTCCGCCGGGGACGACGACGACGACCTTGAAGAGTACAACCCTCCCTCTTTCCACGGCGGTTACGACATCACCCTCACTACGGCCGCCCCCTCTCTCCTTCCCCCTCACCTGCTACCCTATCTTCAATGGATCTGGTCACCGCCCCGAACCCTTATCGTCACCTCCGGTCTCTGATCACCGCCCCGAAACCTTAGCGTCACCTCTCTCACCCTCCCCTCCACCTTTGGAGCCAGATCACCACCGGAACCCTACCGAGCAGCCGCCTTTGTATGATTACGGCTTATTCTGGTCACCGCCCGGAGGTGCAACTGGCCGGAGCTTGACGTGCTCGGTTTCTGGCCGCCTGTGTGCGGGTCCGAGATAGGCGGCGGTGCTGACGTGGAGGAAGTGGGCTACCGGAGTCTGTGGAAGAGGGCTGGGTATTACCTTTTCGGGTACTCGCAGGTAGGGTCCGAATCGAATCCTGTTTATATTTGTATTCGTTTAAAATGTTAAATTTCGAATATCCTCTTTTTTAGCCTTTGCATTCAAATTCGAACATGAATAGTTTTTGAATATCTAGGAATAATTTTCGAAGTTATTTTAAAAAATATGATTAATAATATATGCCTATGAATATCAAACTATAAAATTAAGAAGATAAATCTATCATTTTTTCTAAAGAGTTTGATTTCAAATAGCATTTAGTTTATAATTAAAATTTGATTCCTTTGAATGTATTAATTTGGAATTTGAATATTTGGTTAAAAGTCCAGTTGAGACCCTTTTTAAGTCTCTCAAAATTAATATAGAAATTAAATTAAGAAATGTGAGTGAGTAAAAAAACATACTGCTACCTGTGTAATAATACAAATTACAATGGATGAATATTTGATAAGTAATGTATCAGATATACATCTGGCTAATCTTGTATTCATGCATGAATTGAATACTAAAAATTATTTATTTACTGCTAAATGAACTACAGAATCGAATGTAATTGAATAGCTAAACAAACAATTAAGAGATTATTTATTGATTATTTGGTTTGTCACCATCTCTACTCGCAGGGGTATGGAGAGAGGAGGATTGGGGTTGATAGCTATGGGATTCCTGTTTATGCTAATAAGAGAGGAGTTAGTGAAGCTGTAAATCTGCAGATTGAGCAAGCGAGGGATTTGAAGGTGGTTTTCCATGAGAATGACAGTGTGAGTACTAGCGATATGCCCTTTGCTCTTATTGTTGCTTATAATATCATTCTATCGAAAGATTAATTTTTTAAGGGCTTAATTGGACATTGGTTACCCAAAGTTTCACCCATTTTACCCATTTGATACCCCAATGTTTACTTTTGCCTGTTTGATACCCCTAAACTTTTCAAATATTGAATTTTCATAACCCCATATTTCTGGTCATTATTCTTTCTGTTTGAATAAGGTCACATTCTTAGCACGTCATTAAGATGGGACATTTTTACCCTTCTCTTCAATATAAATGCTCAACTACCCCCATTTCTTCTTCCTCTTTCTGTTTCACCCAAACCCATTAAACTCAAAACATCATTTCTATTTCTCACTTCACTAAAAATTTAAGTCCGGGTAATAAAAATCGCTCCTTTTCACTATGCTTCATGATAATAATGTATAATTGTTACTTTTGATACGTTTGCAATGACAAAAACATTATTCTTTTGCCCTTGTCTTGCTCTTTTTTAATGGTTCCTAATATTTCAACTTCATTCCTAGTGTTGTCAACGAGGTAAATACAAATACATCACACGTTCTAACTTTTTCTAAGAACTCCTTTCCTTGAATTGTGGATGCCAAGGAACTAATCCCTTGTTGATGGACGTCGTAAGATCTTTCAAGTATATCATGAAGTTGCCGCTGTAACCCAAGAAATATGTTGTGTAGTACTATAATCTGAAAAATGTCTCTCTTCTACTTGAATTACATTTGTCACGCCCCAAGACTAACAACCACGTCCCGAGCACGTGACTACGCTAGGCAACATATGCAAGTGGGCCAAACTCCACCCAAAAACATATATTTAAGCTTATAATAACCTGTATATACACAATCATATATCACAGAAACCATATCACAATGTAGATCACATCAATACCCACAAAGCAATATATAAGATGTGAATAAGCAGTGGAAACTGAACTCAAATAGATATAGAAACAAATTCGATACGATTGAGTACAAAATAGGGTATACATACGTGCCTAATGTCTGAATACAAGAATATGACTTTAAGCTCTCAACTAATACATAATCTCAACTGAGAGGAAAGAGAACTGAATGCTAAAGATGAATACAGAGACTGATGAAAAGAAAGAAGGTTATGGAGCTCTTGCTATCTTTGGCTCACCATTGGATCAACCAACATGGTGGGACCTACAAAGAGATAATATAAAAGAGAATCGAGATATGGCATACAAGTCTATGTATGCTAGGTCTGTCAGAGCAGACTAACAAGTGCTTCCAAAAAAAAGGCAAATAAACAACTAATTGATTTGCAAACACTGGTGAAATATCTTTTTTTAAAACATGTATTGAAAACGGATGAGAAAACCAATACTGAAATCAAATACCAAAAGCCAACAAAAATTCCAACAACAAATAGAAGGGATATGGAAGGAACATGGCATAGAGCTAGCTAACTACCAATAGAAACAAGAGTGTAAAAATGCAAAAGTCCAAGTGTGTGAAACATCACAAATCTACATCTTGGAATACACATGTAACTCACTTACATTCCATACTACAAGCTCGTAGCATGTCCACTCCAAGCCTATTTACCTAGTATTCATCTTTTATTTTATTTGGAATTAAGTGGTGAGCCCCGGATCTCAGGCTCCTATCCTATGTCCAATAACTTAGTTCATGTGCTACAACATACTATGCTCGAGGTAGCTCATACACGTGAAAAAACTTAACTCATCACAACTATTGCAATAAAAATAACAAATTTAACAAGTCCATCCGATATAATAAAAAACAAAGAGAACATAGTTCATCACAGATAATTGCTTTATACTTGCTCTTGAATTCTTACTCGTCAACTTTCCACTGAGGTACCAGATTATACTGATTACATCGTCAATATTTGTTGGGTTCTCACCATTTGATTCCCCCGTTAAAATCTTAAGTTATCTTCTTTTTAGTCTCATAGAGAATACATATATTTTTATCTAGTACTTAAACATTTTAATATGAATACCCCTAATGTCGGATCATCCAATGATTGCATATAGGTGATCAGTTTATATAACACCCTTTGGATGCCCTAACCTAGTTGATTATCTTCATACTCAAATATACAAGGTACGGAATCCATAGCCACAAATCTCAATGTGACTCGATACATGTCCAACAGAAACTCATGCCCCAAAGCAGTATATCATGTCCGATATCAAACAAACCAGATCTAGTCTAATAATTAAACAAGAACATGTTCTGGATCATGCACGTAATGTCCAATACCGAATACGTAAAACAATAATACATTATTTAATTTTCATTCAACATGTATCTGAATAACCAAAGGAATAATCATACCAAACGAGTCACAATCAACATTTCCAAGCTACAACTTGTGTCCACGCACGGTCCTCATTCAATATACCACCTAGAACACCACTAGGTTTCTATCTCATAACAACATACAAGAAGCTATCTTCTATGTATCCAACAAGTAAAGCATGGCAAGAACATGAATTATCAAAAACTATACATTGCTTTAAAAACTATTACCAGTGCGTTTATCCAAAAACCAAAACATAAATTCAATTGCATAAGGTTGTAGAGAATTCAACAAGCTTTTCAAAACATCTTGAATCGTAAAAAACAGAGCTCCGAATTAAAGGTTACTGCCATTCAAATTTGACTAAAACAACATTCTTCCAAAATTATACTTTGCTATAAAAAACCGTCAAATCTATACTTATCTTAAAACCAAAATAGAAAATCAACTATTCAAAGATTGTAGAGGACTCAAAAAGTTTTCCAGAATCTTGAATCATCAAAAACGAACATCAAAGTCAAACGTTATGGCCATTTGAAAACTAGTTGTTATTAGAAAAGGTTTTGCAAATAGGTCTATTTGTCTAAAATGAGCACTAGACAATATAAAACTTATCCAAAGTGTTGAAATCATATAACCAAATTAAAGAGCACTCAATGAGCTTTCCAATAAGCCTAATATCAACTAAAATGGGCAACCAAGTCAATAATTATGGCTGTTTGAAAAAGATCCAAATCTATAGGAAATCAATGGTCAACTATTCAAGAATAACAATCAACGATTCATCTCATTCCAGCTCAGTTTTTGACTTTTTTCACTCAAATTGATTATTAAAGGTTCCAAATCAAAATCTAATGAATACCCATCATAGATAAACACATTAGGATCATTTAAAGTAAGTTTGAACCATTCTCATCTTGAATCCACAAAGTTAGGTAAACAAGTACAAAACTAAATGAAAATGTCGAGTTTTTCAAATGGATTCTTTCAAATCTCAACACCAAACATCCCTAAATGCTCCAAATATATAGTACACATTACTAGCACCTGGAATCCGTGAAATTTACATCAAAACTCATAAATTTACTATGGAAATACAAATCAACCATGAAGAGAAAATTGTATGATATTTAAACGCTAATATCTCCTAAATATGATTCATCTCCATCCAATCCAATCCAAAATCAATCCAAACATCCATAGAATAAAAAAATAATCGATATCCGTGATATAGGAGATGATAATCTAACATAAAAACTAGATTTTTGATGAAAATAAAGGAGGGAGAAGGGAGCACTTGCCTTGGATTGAAGTTTCCCCTTCTCCAAGTCTTCTCTCTCCTAGGGTTTGGGCTCAAAGAATGAAGTGGGGGCTGCTATAAGTTTGGTGTTTATAGGGTATAAAAACGGTATTTTCAGATTTAATTTAATATGCATTCGTTAAGGACTCAATTTTGGAAAAATACTCAGAAAAAATATTAAAAATCATCTAAAATCATTTGGAACAAGTTTAATATAGCAAATTTTGTAAAAAGATGTACATATTTTGAAATATAAATTGAAATTTAAAAATTCATCGATTGGCAAATCGACCATTGAAAATAAACCTTGCATGATCGACGGTCGAAATGAAGGGAATGAGAGGACGGGCCTTTACAACACCTATCTTCCCTCCTATAGATGATTGACTGAAAGAACCCCCATGGTGCACATGTAACATCTTCACCATTGTGTACAATTCAAGTCAAAACTAAATCAAAGTCAAACAAAGGTTAATTCAGATACTTACTAAAAAAGTTCAAGCTAAAAATCATGAAGAGATCCCTAAATAACCTTAAAATTTCTATAATTTTAAAATAACTATCTTATGAAACAATTTAAAAAAGGCAAATAAAGCCAAATTACATTCAAAAATTATAAACTAAGGAAAATTTTGATCAAGCCTAGGGAAAAAAAATTAAATTTTGAATTGAAAATTTTAATTTTAAACAAAATGTGAGCATGAAATTAGTCAAGGGTTGAGGAGGAACTGTGAGCTTGGGTTGAGGAGGATGAGCAGAAAGGGAATGATAATTGACGACAAGGGTTTAGTTGTTCGTGATGGGCGCGGGTGCCGACTTGAGGACAAACGCGAATTCGTCGAGAACTTGAGGATGAGCATAGTGTTGCAGCAATTGTGAGGACTTGAGGTCAAACAAAACGTGACTTCATGTTAGTGGGGATGTTGTTGCGGTAAAAATCGGTAGTGATGAGAGTATAGGGATGAGATTTTAGAGATATTGGGAGTTTAATATGGAACTGGAGAATTGCGGCTACTAACTGTTAAATAACAGAGAGTTTAGGAGTTTAATGAGGAACTAGGGATTTTGGGAGTTTAATAAGGAAGGGCTATTTTATAATTTCATCTTCTCTCTGTTAACTAATGGATAAAACTTAACGGTTACAATGGCTGAGATGTTAATTGGGCTAAACAGAACTTTAGGGTACCAAAGCTCAAAATCAGTGAAACTTTGGGGTATCAAAGTCCAATTAAACCTTTGTTTAAAGTATAACAGTCTTGGAGATGTTAATTATTCGTGTTGCTTATAACAAATGGTTAGTAGCGGTGGATCTTGTTTAATGCTAATCTTAGTGATTTTTGTGAATATTGACATTTTCATCATTGAATGAATTTGACTGAAAATATTGGATGTCTAGTACATTTAAGGTTTTGGGAGATGCACTATACATCTAGCTTTAAAATATTACTGGAAACTTAGTTTTCCCCCGTTCTATTAGAAATTTGATCCAACATTAAAATTTTAGACAAAATATCAAATTTAAGGTTTTGGGAGATGCACTATACATCTAGCTTTAAAATATTACTGGAAACTTAGTTTTCCCCCGTTCTATTAGAAATTTGATCCAACATTAAAATTTTAGACAAAATATCAAATTTTATACCAGTTTTGGAAATTGGGAACTCATCTACCATATTATTATTTAAAGAACATATAGTTTATTAGCACATAATATAAGTACAAGTTTTTTAATTTAAATAAATAATACAAACATGTAAGTGATTGTTTAAAATAATTTTGTTTAATAGGAATTTGAGTTTAGAAGATGAAACAAATTTAAAAAATAATATTAAAATTCTAAAATTAATAGTATTTACTAACAACTAACACGTACAACAATGAAGTAAGCAAATATATTTTCACATTTCTATGATAACAAAAAAAGCAATCAAACTTAACAAAAAATTAAAATGTAAATACTTAAACTAGTATTAAATACTGAACAACAGAAACAAAGTAAAATACTCCTAAATCTTTAATATGCATCATGAAATCAATTATAATCTTCTCCAATAAGCTCATAACATTCTTCTCTATCTTCTACATGTAGATTGACGAGCAAACTTCGGTTTGAACCGAACAAACTGATCGAACCGTCTGATTTTTAACAGTTTGGTTTGGTTTTGAAATCACTTAGGTTCAGATCGGGTTCGAAACTCTTGAAATCATGTCCATTGAACTGAATGAATATCCTAAATCACCTAATTACATACCCTAATTACATACCCTCTCTCACACACTAAGGTGAGTCTACCATTACCTATTTTTACCATAAATATTAGAGAAAGTGAGGGATCCACCTATCTTTTCCCTTTTCCCAAAGCCCAAATGAAATCTTCTCTCTTACGAATCACAAGGCAACAACTATGATAAAAAATTAAAAGCTCAGTTATATGTTATCTTCTTTGGCCTTCAATATTCTCTTTTGTATTTTCAGCCATAGCGAAAGCCTATACTTTCTCGGTTGCAGCTGCATCCTCCATTGCTTGGTGACAAAGCTAGTAACAACCGAGAAATCGACCGAACTGAACCGAAATAACTCGGTTCGGTTCGGTTGGGTGCGTTAGAAAATTAGAAAAACTGACCATTTGCTCTCCCCTGTCTTTTAGGATGACATTAACATCTCAGTTATCTCTTGTCGATATACTCCTTTCTAATCTTAAAGTATTAAAAAAGCAATTGCTTTTCCTTTTTCATGGAAGATGTTGCATGAAGAATGAACATTTGAAAGGTAAAGATATTTTTTTGAGTAAATTAATGATATTTAAATGTTAATTGTTGATAGTAGTTATATAAATGTTGAATAAACATGTTATTTTCATGTAATGATGACCTCATTATCTGAAATTTCCGAAGTTATTTTGGCAAGCATTCAGTGTCAGTGAAAAATAACTGGATAAGACTATAATTTTGGGTGTTGATTTGGAGTATTCTGTGAGGTTAGTATTGTAAAAAATTTTGTCAGTTTCAAATTGCAATCTATTTTGTTCCAATGTAGGAGAAAACTTATTTTGAAACCTGTTTCAACACCAAATAGAGCCAAAGTGTTATAAAACACAGGTATAACATCCATGTATTTAACGCAGAACATAACATTAAAAAACACAAAATTTCGCATTACGTTAAGTGTTATTTAACATTGTTAAATTGAGTCAAATTGATGATCAGATTTGAACGTTTGGTGATATATTCACTATCCAAATCAGTATCACGCTAACCAAAATAAGTTCCCAATTGAACCCAACACCAATGTCATTCATTTGAAAAACACCAGCGATCTCCTGACCCCATCTTTAGCACCTCTCTCATCTTCTCCCCCTCCACCTCTCACTCCTTTGACGAAGAAACTTCTCGATCTCTTCTTCTTTGTGTGCCTTTGATGAAGATGAAGTGTCTCCAACAATAAGGCTCTTCTCGTCCTCTTATCTTCACTGACAATAAGGCTCCTTTCTGGTCCCTTCTCGGCTCTCATATCACCTCTCACCAACGAAGAAAATCCTAACCATTACTCCACTTTCTAAATCCTAATTCCTTTCGACGAAGGTGTAACTTTCTAAATCCTTACTTCTGTACCTCTTTGAGTTCTCCTTCATGTTTGAAAATTTTGATGATGTTAATTATTAAAATCATTATGAATAGTTTGTATGTATGAGATATCTAAATAATTAATAAACAGAATAACCTATGTTATGCATTACGTAATGCGTTATTGTTATTTTTAACATTAATAACTCTGACAATTTGGTTTTGATGCAGTGGTCTCTGACTTCTTATGAGAGGAAGGGTGAGAGCTATGGTTATGCTTATAATAAGTATCACCATATGGAGCCTCTTCATGTCGAAGAAAAATTGACCGAGAAGACGTTGCATCAAAGATCGCCTTACCATGATGCTTATGAGGAGCAAGCATATACTAAGCCGGAATGGGTGATTACTTTCTATTTATACTGATCCATGCATCTCTTTTCTGTTTTGTAAATCACATTATAAAAAAAATCCAAAAACAATTGTAAAATTCAAAAATTGTGAACTTCACAATCACAATTAAGTCAACTTTGCCAGATAGTACTTGACTATTCACAACAATAAAGGAAGCAGCAAGAGTATAATAAACAATCCAAAAGAAATTACCTAACTATTTCAAATCTTAAAAAAAAGGTTCTGAAGCTCCTAATGGAACTTGTACAAAATAATACTCATAACATTCTCCAATAAACTCACTTCATTCTTCTCAGTCTTCTGCATCGGATCATCCTTTTCTAGGATGATATTAACATCTCTGTATCAATTATACTCCTAATAGAAGTCATACAAAATAATACTCATCCTAACATTTCTCCAATAAACTCATTTCATTTTTCTCAGTCTTCTGCATTGGATCATCCTCTTCTAGGATGATATTAGTATCTCTATATCAATGACACTCATTTCTAATCCCAGTGTCTTCAGCGGTAATTGTTTTCATTTTTCATGGAAGACGTTGCACAAAGAGTGAAATTCAAGTTTTCTACTAAACATTCAAAGCTTCACAAACTTGTTGAGTAAATTTACAATATTTAATTGCTGAATGCTGATAATTTTCAATAGTAGTTATCTTAGTATCTGAAGTTTTTGAAATCATTTTGCAAAGTTTCATTGTGAAAACTGAGAAGTACTGGACAAGAATACAATTTCTGGTTCTCCATTTTGACTGTTCTCTATGAGATCAATATTGAAAAATTATGCTGCTTCCAAATTTTGATTTATTTCGTTGCAAAATTTGAATATTTGGTTTTGCTGCAGTGGTTTCCGACGTCACATGAGATGAAAGATGAGAGCTATGGCTATGCGTATAATAAGTATCAGTACACGGAACCTCTTCATATTGAAGAAAACTCGACTGAGACAATGTTGCATCAGAGATTAACTTATTATGATTTTGATGAGGAGCAAGGGTATCCTAAGCCAGAACGGGTGATTGCCTGAACTTATAGTTGAATCTTTTGTATCTCTTATTCTGCTGTATAATCTTCATAAAGCCCCTTAAATTTAGCGATGCTATTTTCTCTTATCAAATCTGAAAACAGAACCCAAAGGATCAAGAGGGATCCAGATAAGTAGAAGAGATCTGAAACTCTTAGTGTTCTGAAAATAATGTTGGTTAAATAAACACACTACCTGCTTAAGAAATTAAATTTCAAAGTAAATTGAGGATTCACTCTCATAACTTTTGGAGGTAAAGACTTCTGTGAGCATATAGTTGTCATGTAACCTCTAAAATTTCGTACTTCCTTTCATTTATGCATTTCATTAGGACTGAAATTAAATTAGGTTGCATAATAAGTATAAGAGAGCATGTATAGTTTTGGTGATATCTTTGCTGCAGCCTACATGTAGAGCAGGGATGATTTTCTAATGAACTTCAAGCTTATATTTCTAGGAGAACATTAATTTCTACTACCACTTATTCAGCCTTATCAAGCCAGAGAAAAGAATTACCGCTTTTCCTGGCTGTTTGTTAGGTAAAACTGCTCATCACTTACTTAGACAACATTCATTCAGTTCATCATAAGTAAGTTAACTGACTGAAACCCATTTTACTTTGTCATCAGCCTAAGCCCACTGACCTGACAGTTCCTATCCCCTCATTCTACCCACTTTCTACTCCAAAAAACTGTTTATCGCCATTATAGTGTCAAAAATCCAACAAGAGCTTGTGGGAAGAAACCCTTCAAAGTTCCTTCTGCTCACGACTCTAATCCTTGATGAAGACCCGCTTCGAACCTCCACTGCCTTTGGCAACTATGACGGCTCTGCACTTCTCAAACTTATGTTCCATCTTAAACCCTCTAAGGATAAGAGGAAATAATAAAGGAGGAGGAAAAATAAAATGGGTTATTTTCTTTCGTCAACCTGACACAAAATGCATTAGGAGTCTAATGGGGAAATTTCCTTAGAGGTAGTTAATTGTTGCTTTCCAGAACCAAGATTTAACATACTGTCAATAGGTGATTTGTTTTGAAATAGTTGTCAATTGTTAGCCCTAGAGACAACTTCAGTCATTTTCTTTCTGTTGCTTCGGTAACTACTGTAATCTGTTTGGTTTTATCGTAGCGATACATGGAATACCAATGTTTCAGCAATGAGACAACTGAACATACTGAAAATTCAGCTAAAATTTTTAAGATTTTGGGAGGCACACATGCTGCCGTGCATCTAGTTTAAATATTAGCTGCAATATAATTTGTACTATTTCTGTTTCAAAATTCAGACATTTTTTGAGTAACTTGTGACATTTAAATTATTAAACTGTAAATAATATTTATCCTGATGCAGAATAGTCATTCAAATTCATTTATTGTTAACCCTAGTTACTGAAATTTCTATAATTATATTGGCAGGTATTCACTTTGATGTGAGACTGAAGAGTTAACTATCTTATGGGATTGATATTGTGGAAAACTTGCCTATTTCAAATTATGATCTATTTTGTTGTAAAATTTGAAAACTTTGTTTTTCTGCAGTGGTTTTCATCCTATGATGCGACAAAGGACCAGAGCTGCAGCTATGATTATAACAAGTATAATAACTACATGGAGCCTCTTCACATTGAAGAAAACTTTATGGACCCGATGTTGCATCAGAGATTGACATATCATGATACTGAGGAGCATACGTATCCCAAGGTTGAATGAGTGAATACCTGACCTTATATTTTGAACTATTTGTTTCTCTTATTCATTAGTGTAAATTATGTAAAAAATCATCAGATATTTAGTGTATCAGTTTCTAAAATCAAATCTGTGGACATTGAGTCAGATTCAAATATTAGGAAAATGAAAGAAGTTTTATTTGTAGCTGTTAGAATTAATATAAAACTATGATCCTTGATCCTTATCATAACTTTGGAGTTTTGGTGTAATGGTTAGGGGAACTAAATTTAAGATGGTATCAGAGCAACCCAGGTTCAAATTCCACCGACCATGAATTAAATGCAGGTTTTGTAAAAATTGACACCGCTACGTGAGTCAATGTTTCAACCCATAAAAAAGGACACTCAACCTGCTGGTGTAATGGTTAGGGGAACTAAATTTAATATAAAATTATGATCCTTAATCCTCACCATAAAAAAGGACGCTCAACCGACCACGAATTAATATAAAACTATGATCCTTGATTCTCACCATAACTTCGGAGTTTTGGTGTAATGGTTAGGGGAACTAAATTTAAGAGTAGTAAGATTGCAATTCTGAAATTCTTAGATTTTAGAAAATGGTGTAAGTTGATAACTAAATCTTTAAGATTGCTAGTTAAAATTTTCAAATCTTGGACTAGATTAAGGAGGACATTCTTTTCATAAGCTTTGAGAGGGAGAACTTTATGAAAGGACTTCTGCTAGCTGCCACCTTATGATTGTTATATCACCATTTTTCACTTGTTTTATTGATGACTAGTTCACAAATCACGATGACTCCATCCTTGAGTACCCACATCCTCTTCCCACCTTTTTCCGTGTTGAAAGGGTGGTTATGTTACTAATGTAAGTCAGAAAGAAGTTTCAGATGTCCTTTACAATGTATTGCATTTCTATTTAATTTTAAGGTTATGTTGATATCAGGAAAACCTCTGTGTGTGTGGGAATATGGTGGTTGGCATAAATTTGACTTAAAGAAAAACTCTTACTGTTTCCTTCTTCTTTTCTAGTTCTCCTCCCTTCTCTCATGCTGGGTCCATCCCTTACATGGTTTAACCTCTTCTCCAATTGACAACAGTAGTAACTATGTACTATTTTTTGAATTTCTCTCATCCATTCTACATCTTCCTATCCCCTTTAATTTATACCTAAGATTAGGATCAAATAGGAGATTAAAGTAGAATGTGAGATGAATACGATATGAAGATGATTGTACGTAAGAATACTACTCTTTTGAGTGTTAGTATACAACTTGTACTGCTTCCTTTTGGTGCTGTTGTATATCGTGGAAATAGTTTAATAGAAGCTTGAAGCCTAATGATGGTGCATGAATCAAGAGTCAAGAAGCAAGAGATCATCAACTCTGCAACTTAAGAATACATATTCAACGTCACTGGTGAAGAATAACCAAATCTTCTACTCATGGATTAAAGACAACTAGAAACAAAAGACACGTCATAAAGAGTAAATTTCCTGTTAAGGTTAGGTCAGAGTCAGCTTAGTGGTCAAACCCTAACCTAACCCTTCCCGGTTTTAAGTGAGGTTAGCTTCAAACAGTCTAAGCCGAATCAAAGTACTCAACTTCAGCCAATGAGAAGGATGGGTTAGTCCGTTTTGGGTTGCCAATTCAAGTTGCGCCCTAGTCGACTATAATGGCTTCTCCCTTCTGTTGGTCCATCGGAAAACCAATGAGGAAAAGATAGAAAAGGGAGGGAAGTTAAAGTTCTTTTTCCCCCTTTCTGTCATCTTAACTCGAAGTGTAAATGTGGCAGTTAATGCCTGTTAGGGAAGAATCTTTGTAATTAAGGGAAGACGAAAACATCTGACCTGAAACATAAGGATCTTTTGTAGCTAGTCCAATCTTCTAAATGCTTTTGGTTGTCTTTTGTTTCTTTGTACATGCTTTTCTGTAGAAAGTAGGGCTACACATTGTACCCATAAAAAAACCATTACCATAGAGTATGCTGCTTGTGTATGTTAATTCGAAGAATTATATTGCAAATTAAACTCCCAATGGTACCACATACTCATGTTTTTTTTCCACAGACGTGTGCTCAATTATGTAGTTGTACACATCTTGTGTTGCTAATAAATATTGCTAATAAATATTGATAACTTCTTCTCTATTCTATGTTTTGCATGTAGCAATCTTCCTATAGTGAGTTTGGGGAGAACAATTTCCATGTGGATCATCAGTATTCATGTGAAAGGCCCACCAATGAACAGCCCCTTTCTTTTGAACTTGAACCATACAAGCCAACTTGGTCCCAGAATCTAAATCATCAGGAATATTATGGCGGGGAATTGTCGCTCCAGTCTTTTGTGAGTATTAACCCTTACATGCATGTATTTGCATATAATTTTCTCATCAGTTTTGGTTTAGACTTTAGACTTATACAGAGCTTTTTGTTTGGTTTGTCTGGAAGATGCTTTCATGCTCTCTTATTTTGTAGAGTGTTTTGGCATTTCTGTGCCTTAAAAGTTCTTGATGGTTACCTGTCAGTTTGTCACATTTGTTATATATATTAGAAATATACTCATTATCTCACTATCAGTCTGATGAATGTAAACAGACTTTCATAAGTTTTTATTCATTCATGTTGTAAATCAATAACATTGCAAGAAGCGTACTTTTGTTCGTTGTGATAAGCGTTTCTCCTTGTCTTCTAAGCTAATACATTGCAAAAGGCTTTCTCTCTGTAAATATTATAAGCAGAGATTTGGAGAGAAAAGAGTTATGAGATCAAGGCCTCATACTCTGGTTTATATATAGTTTGAAAATAGATACAAGTATGGTATCATACCCGATGTGGGACTAAACCACATTACATAACATCTCTCAACACTCCCCCTCAAGCTGGAGCATATATATCATACATGCCTATCTTGTCACAAATAAAGTCTACCAGAGTTTTCCGAAGTGGTTTTGTTAAAATGTCTACTAACTGATGACCTGTCGATACATGTCTTGTAGTGATGATTTTATCTACAATCTTCCTTCGAACAATATGACAATCAACTTCAATGTGCTTCGTCCTCTCATGGAAAACAGGATTTTCAGCAATGTGGATTGCTGTTTGATTGTCACAATATAATTTCATAGGACATTCTGGGGGAAGACCAACTTCTGTCAATAAATCGCGAATCCAGACCATCTCTAGTGTTACATTTGTCATCGCTCTGTATTCTGATTTTGTACTAGCTCCCGATCTCTCGTAGTCGCCTCTCACCCGCAACCGCCCTCCTCAGTCCCGCCCGCACCCGCAAACCCTAGCCTCCTCTCACCCGCAGTCGCCCTCCTCAGCCCGCGCCTGCACCTGCAAACCCTAGCCAAGTCAAATAATTCAATTTTCCCACTAACATTCTAAATCGTCCAACATCCTCAAGAAGTTCCCTCTGATCTGGTAACAACTTTACATTTACATTACATCCATTGGAGAATTAATGCTTCTACATCCTAACATGTCCGCTTCTGAAAATATATCGAGCACATATTTTCTCTGGGACAAATGAACACCCTTCTTTGACTTGGCCACCTCTATACCCAGAAAGTACTTGAGAGACCCTAGATCTTAAGTCTGGAAGTGCTAATGTAGATTTTTCTTCAAACCACTAATCTCAATTGTATCATCCCTGTGATTACAATGCCATCCACATATACAACAAGCAGAATTTTCTTGCCATTATGTAGTCTCCAAAAGACAGAATGATCTTTCTCTGATCTACTGAGACCAAAGTCTTGAACTGCAGATGCAAAGCGACAGAACCAAGCACGCGAAGATTGTTTTAGGCCATATAAAGACTTCTTTAACTTGCAGACCTTCAGAGATTCCCCCTGAGCAATAAAGCCTGGTGGTTGCTCCATGTAAACTTCTTCATCAAGAAAACCATTAAGAAATACATTCTTAATGTCAAGTTGATGTAGAGGCCAGTGATAGGTAGTAGCAATAGAAATGAGAAGACGAACCGGAGTCATCTTAGCAACAGGAGAGAACGTATCCAAATAATCAAGACCATAGACTTGAGAGAAACCCTTTGCAACCAGACGTGCCTTCAAGCGTGCCAGTGTTCCATCAGGATTGAGTTTAACAGTATAAACCCATTTGCAACCAACAACATTTTTGCCTGGCGGAAGAGATACCAAATCTCAAGTATCATTTTGCTCCAAAGCAGCCATTTCATCCTTCATAGCTTGAACCCAACCTGGTATAGATAGGGCTTCTGACACAGTCTTGGGAACCAAATGTGAGTCCAATGAAGATATAAAAGATTTAAAGGAAGAGGAAAGATGAGAGTAAGAAACAAAATTAGAGAGGGATGTTGAGTACAAGTTCTTCTACCCTTACATAATGTGATAGGAAGATCATCAGAACCCTCAGACAAGGGTATAATAGCACTTGAAACAGGATTTGATTATGAGGTAGACGGAGGCACAGGAGCAAGAGTATGACGACGTGTATAAACTTGGAAAGGACCCTAAAGTCGCTGTGGATCTTTATCAGTACCATTGTCAGCCAAAGAGTCAGCATGCTTAAATAAAGTTTCTCGAAGGGTCAAATAGTCATAAGAGTCTGAGGGGTTGGGAAAGACAGATGAAGAATGACCAGCTTGGTGTTCAAAAAATGTAACCTCAGTAGATAGAACATATCTTTGGAGGGACGGACAGAAACACCGGTAACCTTTCTGGGTACGAGAATATCCAAGAAAGATGCCTTTATGGGACCGAGGGTCAAGTTTAGATTTGTGAGGACTAAAATTATGGACGAAGCTCAAAGACCCAAATATTTTTGGAGGTAGATGAAACAGAGGAGTGTTAGGATACATCGAAGTGTACGAAATTTTGTGTTGAAGGATAGAAGATGGCATGCGGTTAATTAAGTAACAAGCAGTAAGGATAACATCACCCAAAATTCTTTAGGCACCTATTTATGAAAAGGTCCGAGCAATGTCTAGGAGATGTCGATTTTTTCTTTCAGCCATCCCATTTTGTTGAGGAGTGTAAACACATGATGACTGATGCAAAATACCAGATTGAGCAAGGAAGTTGGCAAAATTTGTTTGTAAATACTCCTTAGCATTATCCGATCTCAAAACTTTTATTGTGGATTTGAACTGATTTTGTATTTCTGATAAAAATATTTTAAAAGTTGAGAACACATCAGAACGAGATTTCAATAAATATATCCAAGTAACACGCGAATAATCATCCACAAAACTAACAAAATACTTGAATCCTAATTTTGAAATAATGGGACAAGGACCCCATACATCTGAATGAACTAAATCAAAAGGCTGAATTGCTCTGTTATGACTCGACTAGGATAAGACACGTGATGATGCTTTCCTAACTGACATGACTCACAATCTAATGAGGAAAGAGAACCCAACTCTAGCTCATACAGGCCATTGCGTTCACATCCTGTGCCAATCGTCTTCCTCGTCACCCGATCCTGAAATATACAATATGAAGGAAAGAATGTTACTGTACAATTGAGAAGCTTAGTAATCTTACTAACAGATAAAAGATTGTACGTAAAATCAGGCAGATAAAAGACAGGACAAAGGAAGGGAAGAAGTGGGGGAGTATATTGCCAATACCCTAAATAGGTTTGCGAGACCCATCAGCTAGGATAACAGAGTTAGAAGTAGGAGAAAAAGATGACAGAATACCTCAGTTCTCAGTCATATGATCAGTAGTGCCAGAATCTATAATCCAGGTTGGAGTGGAAGACGAAGTAAGAAAAGCTGTAGGAGTACCTGCTTGGGCAAGAGTAGCAGAGGAAGAAGACGGCACGACCTGTGTATGTTGATACTGCTGGAAAAGTTGGAACTGTTCAAACTGACGACGTAACTGCTCATCCGGGAGTGGAGACGACTGCTGAATATGGTTATCTTGAGAAATATCCTGAGAGGCCAGAAATGCCTTCTTCCCCTTCTTCTTTGGACAGTTAAACTTCATGTGGCCTGGCTCATGACAATAGTGATAGTAGATAACTGATTCATCACCAGGGCTAACCCGAGATGGACCACCACGACCACCTCTGTGTCCACCGCGACTAGTAGAACGACCTCCATTGAACCCACCACGACCATCAGAACCACTACGACCACGGTCACATCCACCAGAGTAGCCTCCCCGGTTAGTAGACTATCAATTCTGAGTAGCAAGGGTAGAATGGTCCTGGCTAGCTGTAGAAGTTGCAGAGTGTGGTGTTGAATAGCATTCTTCAAAAAATGGTACGTCTCAGCAAGGGAACTTACAGCGGACTTCCCATGATTTGTGGTCGGGCCGAGGAATAAGCAGGATCAAGGGTGCCCAAATAGGTGAGAACCATCAAGCGATTCCACTGACTCTGCATCTGCTTGATATCCCTAGTAATGGGGAATATTTGGCGAAGCTCCTCAGTAAGGCGATTGAACTCGTCATAGTGATCATCCATGTTCTTGCCATCTTGTTTCTTTCGAAACAACCCCTGAATAACATCATACGCGCGGTTGACGTCACTGCGACCACCATAGAGATCGGCCAGGAAGACCCAGAGTTCCTTCATAGTAAGACAGTGAAGAACTAGATCCTGGATCTTGGGTTCCATAGAAGTCAAGATCTGACGCAGAAGGATATTGTCATCAAGTGTCCAGGAATCAGATGTCGGAGTAGGAGGATCCGTCGACAGATGACTAGTCTTCCCACGACTGGCCACATAGATCTCCACAACCCGCTTCCACTGTAAGTAGTTGTTGCCATCAAGTTTTCGGTCAGTGATCCGACCATAAAATAACTCAGAGACTCTCGACTGAATCAGAGAATCAGTAGGCTTAGGTGAATCAGAACCAGCCATCGGAAAACAGACGAGAAGAAAGGACCCTCCGCAGAACAGATCAGATAGAGCATATCAGATCCAGTGACTCATAGTACGAGTCCAAATCAGAATAAATCAAATTCAGTGACTCATAGTATGAGTCCAAATCAGAATAAAAGGCAAGAACGACTCAAATCATCACAGAAACGAGGGTGGGGCAGGGGGATGAGAACGGGAGATATGGAGCTAGGGTTTTTTGGGTGCGGCGGCGGTGGCTGGATGCGATGGGTGCGGGCGGGATGCCTGGAAGGTAGGCGAGGGTAGGGTGCAGCGGTGGTGACTGTTGTGGCGAGTGCGGCAATGGTAGTTGGAAGCGAGGGCACGTGCGGTAGTGGTGGCTGGAGGCGATGGTTGCTGGAAAGGCGCGTAGGTTTGCGGGTGCGGGCGGGGCTGAGGAGGGCGACTGCGGGTGAGAGGCGGCTAGCGGTTTGCGGTTGCGGGGGGACTGAGAGGGCGGCTGCGGGTGAGAGCGATTGCGAGCAGATCGGGAGGCTAGCGGTTTTTGGGTACGTTTTTTTCAACTTGGCTCTGATACCATGTAAATATTATAAGCAGAGATTTGGAGAGAAAAGAGTTATGAGATCAAGGCCTCATACTCTGGTTTATATATAGTTTGAAAATAGATACAAGTCTGGTCTCATACCCGATGTGGGAGTAAACCACATTACATAACATCTCTCAACACTCTCAAACCTAAACTCACAAATTGCAAACTTTTGGGCTCTATTTTAGAACTTGACTGTAGGTGAGCATACTTCATGTATATGTGTGCCAAGTCCACTTGCAAGCCTGATTTATTAAAAAGATGGAATTAAAAAAGACCTGATTTATGACATGAATGGATCCAAATTTGAATCTTCATCCAGTGAAAAAATATAAGAGTCTTAGCCCAAACCCAATGTTTTAGAAAGCGTGCGCCTAGACTTAGGTGGTACCTAGGCCACCCGCCTAGGTATTGGAATCGACTAGGGGAATGTGGGCTGCTTAAGCTAACTGCACCACTTAGGTGTTGGTCTTGATTTCTTCTGCTCAGCCTCCAGCGTCCTCCGTTAACATTGAACGCCTCCTTCGACTTTGAGAAAACTTCCTCCACCACCACTTAAACAAAGAAAGAAATCCACCTAGGTGTAGGAGGGCGCCCATCTGGCACCTAGTTGTGTGGTGCTTCCTATAACATTAGGATTTATTATAAATTATTGTAACTAAAAAAAGGAAAACTGCCTAGGCCCCGCTATGCTCCGCCCAAGTGCCTAGGCTCTAGGTGCCGGCTCTGCTGCCTAGCACTTTCTGTAACCTTGCGCAGCCCACATCGAGATCGAGTTTGCGTTCCATTCCATTTCTTATCATGTTTTTGGTTTTGGCTTTTAGACATACTTCCAAAATTTTGGTTTGTTTGATATAAACCCCAATCTTCATAATTTTGAGCTACCCCTCAAATAACTTAAGTTGTTCAAAATTTTACTAAAAATGAGACTTAGATAGTCATACTTCAAAAGAATGGCTTAAAAAGTGGTGAATAATATAGAAAGTGAAGACATCTTGATCATTTTTGGTTGCATTTGAATAATCTAAATATTTGTTTGGCTACACGGAAGTAAGATTTTGTGAGTTCATATCTAATAGGCTAAATGGCTCTTAAATGCCACAAAGTTTCCCACTTTTGGCACTTGAGTACCCTGAGTTAATTTTTGTGTCACTTAAATACCTTAAGTTTTCTGTCACTAAAATCGGGTTAACAGTGTTACTTTTTTATGGAAGGACGAAAATAACCCTCCCATAATTAACCACCAGCAGTTAAAACATTCCTAATTCTTTCATTTTTGTTATATTACTCCTAAAAATCATATCGCCCTAGTTTGTGAATTTGGATTTCGCCCTAGGATCAAGCATCAACCTCACATTTGGATCTTGGAGATGGGGGTATGTGCTCTACATTGAAGTTCTACATTTTAACTTGGATTGGAGAAATTTGAGGTAATGTCTCTTCCAAACTTGATTTTTAAAATTGGATTTGGGGAATGTGGAAGCACTTGGTGAAGCCCTTGATATTCTAGAGCTTGATTTCATGGCTTCCAACAAAAAATTTAGAAGAAAGGAAAGAATTTGAGAATTAGGTTACAGTTAAATGATCTAACTTTTAAATAGAATAGAATGGGGTTGGGTAGAAATTTTAATTGCAGTAATTAATGGGGGTAAAAGGAATATAAATCTGTCATGTGACTATCACAAGGGAATGTTCTTTGGAATATTCTCACGTGGTGCTAATAGAAGGTATCAATATGCCACTTAAAAACTTATGGTATTTAAGTGCCGCAAAAAAAATCAGGGTATTTAAGTGACAATAGTTGGAAATTTTGTGGTATTTAATTGCCATTTAGCCTATCTAATAAGAAAGATTTTCCTGGGGGAGGGTGGGGTTGGTTATAAGAAAAATCATTTTTCACATGGCTTCAGACTTTTTATGACCGATTAAATTTGTTCATGTTTGGATTCATCTATTATAGAGTTTTTAGTGTAGCACTTTGTCATTCTGGTAACTAAATGACCCTTCAATTTTTTTTTCCTGCTTCTGGAATTCACATGGTGTTTGCACTGAGGTAAGATTCAAAAGGCAGGAAGTTGTACTGCTCTTGTAGTTAACTATATGGGAACTATGAGGAATCCTGTTTATGCTTATGTATGAGTGCCTACGTAGAAAATTATATGAGCAGAATGCCAGTGAAGGAGTAGTCCCATTTGTGAGATAACTAACTCAGTGTAAATAAATTAATCAATGTTGTTATGCAAGGTTGCTTATGAATAAAAATGTAATACTTGATGCCATCTTGGATTTGTATTTGAGTTTCGGTTAAAAGTACTAAACCAGAATCTTCGTGCAAAAGCACGGTTTTGTAACTTCGTAGTCGAGTCCAACCTAAAAAGAGATGGGGCTTTTTCTGTTATTCAGTCACATGATATATTAAAGAAGTTTCCAACATGCTAATTCTCTGAAAAGGTTCTGTAAGAATGCATCTATATAGTAGATGAATATGCCATCTGCTTGCACATGTGTGAATAGTAACTAATCGATTTTACATTTTGATCCCATGTTTTGTAGAATAACTTCAAATTCTTATTCAGTATGTTTTATACTGCCTTCCACATGAAAGGTCCAAGAATTATATCATATTGGTTTTACGCTCATAAATTCACAACTTCATTCGTCGTTGGTGGCTTGGTGCTGGACAAGTAGCTGACACTAAGAGATAGGGTAAGAAATGAGTGCATGCGTAGGAATTTAGAGGTTTCTCATATTTAGGGCTAGAGGTAGGAATAAGAGAACTTGATGGGAACATGTTGAGAAGGATATGACCATGGTTAACTTAGCTGAGGAGATAGCCCTCAACAGAACTGAGTGAAGAGTAGGATTCATGTAACCGACCCCAAAATTTGGATACTTGTTTTTATGCGCCAGCAGCGTACTGAGAAATATCCTTATGTCAAAATGTCTGATATCCCAATAGCCTAAAATTTTGATGCTCTTAACACTGGTTAATCTGTATACCACGGAAACAACCAGGTGTATGTGCTATGTACAACCCCACTAGAAACCATCTGATTATTATTGTTTTGTAGCTTAGCTCTAGGCATAACAAGATTATCTGATGTTGACATATTTTGGTATATTTGTTCTGCAAAATTTGTGTTGCAAGTTTAATGCCTCTCTTGCCTTGTCTTCATATAGAATTCTTCCGTGGAAAATGGATGGTGTGAGAGCAATACATTTGGAGACCCTAACAATGCTTACAAATGCCACTACTCTGACCAGCCCTTACAGATTCAGCTTGAGCCTTTCAAGCCGGCATGGGCTCAAAACTCCACTATCAATGAGCCATACATACAAGAAGGATCTCCATCAAGTTGTGTGAGTATGTAAACTCAAGCAAATTATTCTTATTATAAATATTGAGCGTTTGCTACTTTATCTGTTAATTTATTACTTGAAAGCTAATTGTCTTGGATTTCTAAGAGATCACACAGATCT